GTAACGGAAATATTATAAACCACACTCAGTGAACAAAAGATTTACTAGATAAGATATTCAAAAGCCAAACAAAAGGAAAACTTTTCAGAAGTTCCTTTGAAAGAACACATATGCCAGATACTTATCAAGAATCACGAAGTAAGAAAGGGAATTTAATAGGCTCCTTGGTACATATGCTGAGATCCTTATAGCTAGGACAGTGAAGGAGAGCAAGGATTCATAATTCACAATTCACAAAGTGATGTGTAGATTAATATGGCTCAATATTAGTAACAACCACAATAGTTTAATTTTAATATGTAATAGTAATAACCACAGTTGTTTAAATACTTCATATTCATTTTTACATTTACCATATTCTCAGATACAGTCTTTTTTTTTTGGCTATGGAGACATATGAATTCACTTAATCAAATCATACCATTTAGAATCACATAAAGTAAAAATTACTAAAATATCAGCTATAGCATAATTATAATAATTCTATAAGTTACCCACAGGAAGTGCCAAGGATATAGCTCAGACTTTTTTAACCTTGGCACTTTTCATATTTTGATCTGGATAACTTTGTGCTGGTAATGTGAAGGGAGGGGGCTGTTCTGTGCATTCTAAGAGGTTCTGTGTATCACCAATCTCTACCCACTAGATGTCGATAGCACCCATTGATTGTGACAATCAGTGTCTGGAGATACTACCAAATGTCCCAGGTATGTGGGTGGGGGTGCTGGGGAGGGTGTCATGGGTGGGGAATGACCACTTGGTGAGAACCACCAACATACACAGATAGATAGATGAATAGATAGATAATAGAAAAAAGAAAGAGAAAGAAAGAGGAAGAGAGAGAAAAGAAAGAGGAAGAGAGAAGGAGAAGGAGGAGAAAGAAAGATAAAGAGAAAGAGGAAGGAAGGAAGGAAGGAAGGAAGGAAGGAAGGAAGGAAGGAAGGAAGGCAGGCAAGGAGGGAGGGAGGGAGGGAGGGGAAGGGAAAGAAAGGGGGGAAGAAGGAGAAAGGAGAGAGGAAAGAGGAAGGAAAGGAGAGAAGAGAAGAAACAGGAGAGGAGAGGAGAGGAAAGGAAAGGAAAGGAGAGAAGAAAGACTTTATACTAGGCATTCTTAAACAGCTAATACAACTATGAAATAAATGAATTTCAAGTTGGTGAATTTGAATGTATTTATTGTAGTTTAAGGATCACATTTATGAGCAGAAAAAAACTTCTTAAACTAAATCAATATTTTGTATTTTAAAAACAATAAATACACCAGCAATCTCAGATAAGATTCTACTTTACTTAAGATGACAAAAATTAATAAATAGCTTTCTTCTTATTGTTTACTTCTCTCTTAAGAATAAGACCCTACCTTCCTGCTGTCTCCCAGGAATAAAAACAACTGCAGTCTTTCCTTTCAGTTTTGAAGGCAAGAGAAGAACTTTTTCCTCTGACTCTACAGGTGGTTCCTGAAAGTGCTCTCCAGGTGACCTGAGGTGACTGACAAGTCTATTTTGCATTTACAAACAAGTTTAATAGGACCTGCATATTAACAAGAGTAATAATGTGTTATAGCAAATTGGAGTAATTTTTGTATTCACTTATTACCTAGACACTACTCTTCCAAGTTTCTCATTGGATTATTCTTTAGCTTACCATAGATGTAACTGATCGTGCATCTTCTTCATAATTTACTACTGGAGGTGGCTCTTTCCCATCATTTTCTTGCACTTTTTGCTCTAGCAATTCCTTCTGTGCTGAAAACTTTGCTTCAGTGCATCTCAGCTGCTGGACTGACTGCTTCAGTTCCTCAAGTGCCTGTTTTTGGCTTAGCAGAAGCACAATACTAAAAGAGAATAAATTAAATATAAATGATTTCAACTTCATTAAGAAGACATTAAGGAAACCTCATATATGTAAACTATGCTTTTCTTTGATTTCATTTTTATAAGAGCATTTTAGAATAATAAAAAATATGAAACTAAGCAGATTTTAAGTTATCACAGTATTTATTACATGCTAGCATTAACAAAATGGAAGTGTTTGGAGTCAAATCCAAATCAAGATGCTTTCAAATATATTATGATCTATGACATTCATTTTATTTTAGCTAAACCATATACCTCACAGAGTAGACACTTAGGTCCAGAGATGTAGGGCCTAGAATGAATTAAAATAACAGAAGCAGAGTCTTAAATTTACCTTAAGTATCAAAGGCAATATAGCTAGGGTCAGATCTGTGCCTAGGGTAAAATAAATCAAGGTGACAGTCTGGATACGAAGCTTGTGTATATGTTGTGAGGGATGTGTGTCTGGAGGCAGGTGAAGCTACAATGACAAGGACTAAGGGCTAAGATGTAATTGGGGGAACGAGTAAAACAAAGGGCCCCAAATCTTTCCAACATCTCCAATACAAAGACAGTAGACTTTCCCATCCCTCCTTTAGAGTACAAGGCCACAGGTTGTCTTACTGTGAGTTTTTAACCCTTGGAGGCTGCCTTCAATGATAATTTCAAACTCATTCACCCACATTGAAGCCACAGGTAAACAGGTAGTGGTGGTAGATACTTCTGGAAATAGCCCACACTATATATTACAATAATTCCCAAAAAGGACTGTGCCATGCACTGCTGAAAGTAAGTTATTAGTATGTAAGAGACAATAGATTATAAATTAGAGAAAATGTCAAAATCAGAACATAAGGTCAGAAAATATCTTCTTAAATTGAAACTATAAGGCTCAACATAAACTGAATAAATATTCACAGGCAAAAATAACCACACTAAGAGAGATTTATTTATAAATACGATGCTGATCAATATTTTGAAAACTAAATTCAAATTTAATTGAGCAGGGTGCAACCTCAATGACTGCTATAAAGAAAGCTGTAATCTCCTTATTGTAACAAGTTTCAAGTGAGTGTCCTAATAAACAGAAGAGAAAAAAGTATAAGAAAAGTAAAACTAATGAGTAAGAACATTTATAAGAGACCTAGTAATATCCAGAAGATAGACCTCTCCAGTGGAATTCAATAAATGGTAATCAGTATTTACATCATTATCATTCAACAGTCTGTGATCTGTGTTCTAAATCCACACAGACTTCGTGATAAATTCATGCTGTTTTATTTATTAGTTGGTAACTTCTTTTTAATAATAAATTGGCATTTCTGAGTTCTCAGTAATCTCTTGAGAGAAAGTTGATTTTTTAAAAGAATCACTTTTGTGGCAGCATGATTTATAAAGACACGTACACACGTATGTTTATTGTGGCACTATTCACAATAGCCAAGACTTGGAACCAACTCAAATGTCTATCGATGATAGAATGGATTAAGAAAATGTGGCACATTTATGGCATGGAATATTATGCAGCCATAAAAAAGGATGAGTTCATAGAGACATGGATGAAGCTGGAAACCATCATTCTCAGCAAACTATCACAAGGACAAAAAACCAAACACCGCATGCTCTCACTCACGGGTGGGAATTGAACAATGAGA